TAATCCCGTGCTTCGGGAGGCTGAGGTGAGTGGATTGCCTGAGCCCGTGGGTTCGAGACCTGCCTGGGCAACTTGGAGAGACCTCATCTCTATGATAAATCAAAAAGTTAGCCGGGCGTGGTATCGCACACCTGTAGTTCCAGCTACTTGGAAGGCTGAGGTGGAAGGATCGCCGGAGCCCAGCAGGTCGAGTCTGCGGTGGCTGGGAGCGGCCACTGCACTCCAGTCTGGGTGACAGAGTGACTCCAGCTCAGAAAAAAAAAAAAAAAAATTCTTGAAGAGATTGTCTTATTATGTTGAGCTTGAAATATTTAGGCTGGGTCGGGCTCAACCTGTAATCCCAGCACTTTGGGAATTAAAGGTGAGTGAATTGCCTAAGCCTGTGGGTTCAAGACCAGCCCAGACAACTTGGTGAGACCTTGTCTCTACAATAAATAAAAAATTATTTATTTTACAGCTCAGCCTGTAATCCCAGTACTTTGAGAGGCCGAGGTGAGAGGATTGCCTGAGTCCAGGGGTTTGAGACCAGTCTGGGCAACATGGTGAGACCTCGTCTGTACACTAAATCACAAAAACTAACTGGGCATGGTAGCGCATGCCTGTAGTTCTGGCTACTTGGAAGGCTGAGGCGGAAGAATCTCCTGAGCCCAGGAGGTCAACGCTGAGGTAGCCGTGAGCCTGTGTGCCACTACACTCCAGTCTGGACGACAGGGGACAGGGTGAGACTCTAACTCAAAAAAAAAAAAATTGAGGCTGGCCTCGAACTCTTGGTCTCAGCCTCCCAAAACTCTGGGATTACAGGTGCCAAGTACGGGAACAGAAATTAAGTAGCAGTGTGGAACAATAGTATTTAAGCTGTCACTAGGTGGCAGCACATGATTTGTTGCAAAAAGAATAGTACCAAAAAGAATATAGTATTGTGCTAGGGGTGATGGCTTCTCCTTTCAGAGATCCTGTGAGCTACCAATTAATCTTCCTAAAACAGTGCCTATTTAGGTTAGGCTCTTGCTCAAGAATAGCATTTAAAAAAAAAAAAGGATAAATTTGGCGTTTAAACCCAACCTACGTGCAGCCTCTTTCTTCTCTCTTCAATATCTTCTACCACACATATTTCTCAAACAGTATTGACACCAGGAATGCACACCACCTATACTTCAATTATTTGAATTCCTTTCATCTGTCAAAACCAACCCCCTATTCAGGGAGGTGGGAAATCTGAAGCTTTCGAAAGTCTCTAACTGCAGAGAGCGCTGGACACAATATTCCACTGTCCCTGCTTGCTCTTGCCCTCCTCGTCTTCCAGTCTCCTCAGGCATGAGTTTCTGAGGACCAGGAATATGAAAATCGTAGGAAATATGTGCTTATTGGACAGTTGGATAGAATTCTTATTCCCTACCCAGCTCTTTCGAAATCTTCTGTTTTCAAGTTAGCTCAAGTGTTGCTTCCTTTAAGATTTTACCAATCGAATCTCAGTCTGGATGAATTGCTCCCCCAGCATTTTGTTTAAATCTTACTGTCTCAAGCCACTAATAATTATCAGTTTTTCCTCCTCACTAAACCGAGATCCTGCAGAACGCTGCTTCCTTGTGGCTGTTTCTTTTCTTTTCCTTTTTTTTTTTGAGTTGGAGTCTCACTCTGTCGCCCAGACTGGAGTGCAGTGGCCGCTCCCGGCCACCGCGGCCTCGACCTGCTGGGCTCCGGTGATCCTTCCACTCAGCTGGAGCTACAGGCGCGCGCTACCACACCCGGCTAATTTTTTTTGATTTATTGTAGAGATGAGGTCTCGCCTGCCCAGGCGGGTCTCGAACACGCGGGTTCAGGCAATCCACTCACCTCAGCCTCCCAAAGTGCGGGATTACAGGCTGAGCCACCGAGCCCGGCTGTGGCTGTTTCTTACTCAACTATCTCTGGGCTAACCCGAAAGCCGCGCCAGTCTAGTCCATTTTTAATTGGCCTTATCAATTACCAATCGCTTCCGTGTTTAGTATTTTGATTGGTTCATTCTGTGTTTACTGTCCCGCCCTCTAAGAGGCTCCGGGACTTGGGTTTCCCTCAGGTGTTTGCCCACCTCCTGGGTTCCGCCTTTCCAACACCCTACCTCTTCTGTTTTTACCTCCAGTTTCTTCCTATTGGTTCCCTTCTTCCTCCGGAGTTAGCGCCTAGGGCTGTTGATTGGCTTTTCTGGACGCCCATTGTGCCCACCCTCATACCACGTGGCATTCCTAACGCTAATTGGCCAATTCCACTAGCTCGTTTATCAAGGATTGATGATTGATTGGCTATCCCGAGGGAGGGGGTGTTGTTTGAGTAAGGGGCGGGGGCCACCTGAGGCCCCGCCCCCGCCCCAACCCCGCGGGTCAGGCGTTTCAGTCGCTCGCGGCCCGGGAGCTCTGTGGAGTTACCAGCTGTCCTCTCGGTCTGGCGGGTCGGACAGTCCTCCTGGCCCCGCCACACAGGCGCGGGGAGCGGCCCCGACTGTGGGGCCATGGCAGTAGCCTCCTCGTCCTCCGCCGCCGCTATCCCTGCCGAGTCGCCGGCTTCTGGGCGAGGGACCCCCACCGCCTCCGCAGGCTAAGGAGCCGCTGCCGCCACCCAGCTGTGAGGGCTAGTATGCTCCCTCTTTGCTGCCGCCTCCCCCTCCCGCCCGCGCAGGCACCCCTCTGGCTGCTCAATCCTGCCTCAGGTAACGTGAAAAGAGTGCGTGGGGCACAGACCCGGGGCATTTCGCCCGGCCCGCGCGCGGCTGCTGCACCTCCTCGGTCCCAGAACATTGACACTCGGGTCCCTTAGCACCCCTCGGCTTTCCAGAGGTCCTCCTTTTGGTGGCTGAGGACACTCCCCTCTCGGCCCCTGTCCCCTTCCCTCCTCATTTACCTCAGGGTCCCAGCACAGCGCCCTCGTCTTCTCCCCCTCAGAAGCTGGGAACCCAGGGGAAGTAACCTCACTTCAGAGACCTTCCTCACCTCGGAGACTCAGGAATCCTTCGTTTTCTCGGAACAGTCTTGTTTCCCCACTGAGAGCCCCCCTCATCTCAGAGCCCGTTCCCCCTTAGAGATCTGGATTTCTTCAGTTGTCTTCCCTTAGACATACTCTTTCCGCGAGAACGTCCACATCTGCCCTCGAAAAATACTTCCTGCCCCTCAGACACCATTCACTGCCTTTCCCCTTTTCTCCCTTATCATCTCTTCTCTCCTCTCCTTTTCCCTCTTCTGCCTTTTATGCTTCACTTTGAAGACTCTGGAGCAAGCCAGTATTCAGATTTAGCTAGAAATGAAACCCAGATTTATCTAATTTAAAAACCAAAACCCCTATATACCTCTGAGAAAAACTTGCTAAAGAATTTGGACTGTATTCTGTAGGCAGGGGGAACTGTTGAAAGTTTTGTAAGCAGGAGTTTGTTATGATTGCATTATTGCTGGTGAAATTGTAGAGGAAGAATTGAAAGTGAAGACAGAGGGGAGGCAGAAAGCCTAGGTAGGCAGAAAACCAGTGTGCTAATCCAGGCGAGAGGGAATGAAGTGGGATAGTGGTAGGAAAATGAAGAGAACTGCACGAAATTCCAAGAGGTTTCAAAATAGAGTTGAGAGGATTAGTGGGAGGTTTCTGACTTGGCTGATGGTGTAAATTGGTAGTGTTAACTGAAATAGGGAATATAAAAAGCAATTTTGAGGGAAGAATGCATTTTGTTTTGGACAAGTTCAGTTTGAGGTGTTTTTCAGATATCACTAGGTAGCTGGAAATTTGGGTTTGAAAATTGGGAGAAAGACTGGAACTGAGTAAATCTGAGGGTCAAGAGAATAAATGGGATATTTGGATGGTAGTACTGAAAGAAGAGAAGAAAAGGGCTGTGAACCAGAGGGAGCATCATTGTTTGATGGGTAACAGACACTGAAAATGAGAGGTTAAAGGAATGGGACAAGAACTAGAACAGAACGGCATTATAATAGAAGCCAAAATAAGAAAGGGTTTCAAGAAGGAAGAGGAATGACTATCAATATCAGGTGCCCTAGAGGTCAAATAGAGTGAGAGTTAGGAAGAAGCCACTGATTAGCAGTTAGGAGGTAATTTGTTTCATTTGAATGGCAGTTTTGATAGTGTAGTGGCATTGATGGCAGTGGTCAGGCCATGATGGATTGAGGAATAAATGATAAGCAATGAGTAAAATTACTCTTTTTTTAAAATTGAAGTCTCACTCGGCTGCCCAAGCTGGAGTGCAACTGTAAGCTTATGGCCACTGCAGCCTCAGCCTGCTACACTCAGCAAGCCTTCTGCCTCAGCCTTCCGAATAACTGGAACCACAGGCACGCACACCACGCCTGGCTAATTTCTTGATGTATTATAGAGACAAGGTCTTGCCATGTTGTCCAGGTTGGTCTCTAACTCGTGGGCTCAGGCAATCCTCTCGCCTCTTTTCCCCAAAGTATTGGGATTACAGGTGTGAACCACTGCACCCGGCCAAAATTCTTCTTTTTTTTTTGAGTTGCAGTCTCACTCTGTCACCTAGACTGGAGTGCAGTGGCCACTCCCAGCCACCGCAGCCTCGACCTGCTGGGCTCCGGCGATCCTTCC